TAATCCCATCCCCCTAGAGCTGAAGTGGAAAAGTCTTTATTATGTAAAAGGGACAAGCTTGCCCTTCTTAATGGCCCATTGACAAAGTGGGAATGGGCAGGAAGCTACACGGAGCTGTTCTGTCTTTCAAAACATGTTTCTTTCTTCTCATATCCAGAGAAATATTCTGCCTTTTCAATATTTCCTAGGATTTTTCATTTTTCTGGGAGAGGGCTGGGTGATAACTTCCTACACTAGCTAATCTAAATTGTGTGGCAAAGTGGATTCCCCCCCCCCCCCCCCGCTGTTCTACTTACCTTTCAGGTGTGCTTAGTAGTAGGCTCCGCCCACATGCCCGGACGTCATCACGTCATTTTTGACGCTCTGCACATGCGCAGAGGTGGCACACGCACTCACATTTACAAACCAGTAGCGAAGACAAGTAGATTTCACCCCTGATTCCATTGAACATCAACGCACACAACGCGCTTAGACCAGATATAGGTGTAAAAATTAGAATTCTCCTATTTATTTATTTTTGATAAACTGAATTACCTTGCTGACTACACTCATGCAATATGCTAAAGTCCAGCCAGTCAAAAGGCAGAATCTAAAGTCCTGTAAGCGAATCCAGATGCTGGAGTTTGTACGTTGGGATTGATGGTTTAATGTAATATGTGAATCCACAAACCAGCCATTTAAATAAACCATGATTTTTGCCTTGGCCTGATGCTCAACCTTTCCAGGCGTTCCCGACGAAAAAGATTAAGGAAGGAAATAAATATGGATTGGATGTTTTTTGTGAAAACAACAACAAGAAGACAGGAGAGTTAAATATCTAATTGCTTTTATTTTAATTTTTTGACAATTGAGCGGAGAGATGCAATTTTGGAAAGGTAGAAAAATGCAGCATGAACTGAAGCCCTCTTTCCAGAGAAAGGAAATGCCTGCAAACAGTGGTCTCAATACAGACTAAAGGATATCGGTCTGTTCAATACTGCCTTCAACATTTCAATGTCGGGTTTTAAGAGCAACTGTTCCAGCATCATGTTGAATAAATATATCACCAAAACCCTGGTAAGCAGTGGTGGGATTCAAATAATTTAACAACCAGTTCTCTGCCCTAATGTCCAGCTGGGTAGGTGTGGCTCGGTGGTCATGTGACCGTAGGGGTGTGGCCAACTCAACATCACTCAGGTCGATGGGCTCTTCGCCCATGATACCATGAATCAGTGATGGGTTTCAAAAAAATTTCGAACCTACTCTGTGGGTGTGGCCTCCTTTGTGGGAGTGGCTTACTGGCCATGTGACCTGGTGTGGGGGGGCTTGCCGGCCATGTGTTATCTATCTATCTNTCTCCAAGCCAGATAAGGTCTGTGACTGTAAATCCTCCCAAGCCAGATAAGGTCTATGACTGTAAATCCTCCCAAGATAGATAAGGTCTGTGACTGGAAATCCTCCCTTGAAAGACTTTGCTGGATGTGAATGAGCAGAAATCAAGTCAATTACTCAAAAGGTTTTTTGATGGGACAAGGAGTTTGCTTCACGCTCTTGGGAAGCCTGGGTCAGAACAGTATCAGGCCTGATCTCAGTTCTCCTTTCTCCTTTCCTTTTCAAATAATGTTATTAATTTTACAAAGCCTATGCATTAGAAAACCCCATAAACTAACAATCAAAAGAAACAAGGAATAGAAGTATGAAAAAGTATAAAGAAAAAGAAAGGAATATACAAAGTACGACGGAACTAGAACTCACTATCTCCAGGTGAGTGGCCTAAAGTCACCCAGCCAGTTTTCATGCCTAAGGCAGGATTAGAACTCACTGCCTCCTACTGATTGGCTCAAAGCCATCCAGCCCAGTTTCATGCCTAAAATGGAACTAGAATTTACAGTCTCCAGGTGAGCGGCCTAAAGTCACCCAGCTGCTTTCATGCCTAAACTGAGAGTACAACTCTCTGTCTCCCAGTTTCTAAGATAGAGGATGAGGCTTTACCTGATCCCTTGACCATCTCTTCAAATGCTTCCAATCGTCTTAGGCAAGGACCAACATGATATCATGTACTATAGCCAAAATTGACTAGAGTGCTCAGTGCAAACATTTTATTCTCTGCCCAATGCTCTCAGAAGATTCTTCTCGCTGTAATGGTGCATCCCACGTTTATACATTATGCACGCTGCACAATGTTTTCAATAAAATATAAGAGGAGACAGAATGTAAAATGCAATCCACGTCCATTAGGAACTTACATCTTAATGGGAAAGTAATGAGTAATAATGGAGCAATATTGCAGGATTTCATCTGAAACAATAGTCTCCAATCAGATCATCAGGGCAACTTTTACTTTCACAGTGAATCAGTATAACCGGAAGAGAATTTCTTTTGAGATAAACAGTATCATCATCCAACAGTTCCAGCTTATGTATTTTAATAATTAGGATTCAAATCAATTTTTCAGGACTGATTCGCAGGTTATGGTGATCAATAACTCTTCCAAAAGGAGCAATGTTGAAATATATTGGCATTTCGGGCAGGAACTGAAATTCCTTCTAAAGTTCAGATTCTCACCTTACGACAATCAAAATGTTTTTTTTTGGGGGGGGGGGGTGAGTAGGTTTAAAGTGCCAACACAGCCAATTATGGTTGTAATTGTAATTGTAATTACTTTATTTGTATGCCGGCCTTTTCCCTGAGGGGACTCAGGGCGGCTCACAATTCAGGGGGGAGAGGAAGGATAAACAAGTTATAAACATAAGATAATACATCATTAAAAGCACAACAGTCATACTATTCGNTCTTTCTTTCTTTCTTTCTTTCTTTCTTTCTTTCTTTCTTTCTTTCTTCCTTTCTTTCTTTCTTTCTCCCACTCTACAAGGTGAGCAGGACCATCAGAATTTCCAGCCACCAACCTTATAAAGGAAGGATCAAAATAAAAAAATCAAACCCAGCTTGGGATGCTTTTAGCTTTCTCTCAAGCCAGCAGTTGCTGTTTCTTTGTTCTGAAATTCAGGAGGAAATTCAGGAGAGGTTTTTTTTTTCTCCTTGTTGATGAGGGTTGCCCTCTGGGATTTGACAGAATTCAGATGCCGGTTTTAAAAGAGATTTCCTGTGGTTGAGCTGCATCTCTTCTTCTAAATATCTTTGCTCCAAAAAACAGGAATAATCTTTCCAACAACAAGTTACCCTGTTGGCTTCCCCTGTCAGATAATTATTTGTGCTCCCATATTTTATCCTTTCTGTCCTTTTAAAATATTATTTATTAAAGCAAATGCGGTACATGAGATTCCTCCAGATTCTGAGGAATAAATGTTAGA